TCAGTAACTAAATCAAAACATTCTTGCAACAAGCCAAAATCGATTATTCCATCAAATTTTTCATGTCGTATGTGACACTTGTCATATCTTCTGTGTGCTATAATAATCCAAACGTCCTGACTCTTTGATATTAGTTGAAATTGAGACACATTACAAAATTTGCCCACATGATTCTTGTTCAAATAAATATTAAAAAGTCAGAAATATATAAAATAATTCAAAAATTTACAGATTATCAAAATTAAAAATATTCCACTATATGAAATTTTGTTACGAACATATATAATTTCTAGCTCATCTAAACACTCAAGTATCATAAGAAAAATAATACAAACTTTACCAGATCTACTAATTCCTACTTGTTGTGTATAAACCACAACGAGTTTCTAATTATTCACATTGAGAAGATTTCGATAGAAATTTCTTCCCTTACATGGCATTTTTTGCTCGAACCCTTGTTGTTCGATTCTCGCACATATAATGTCACACCTCGATGATGTAGAATATCATTTTTCAATGTGTATTCTTGCATTCTTTTTACGGGCCCAAATGTATAGACAGGGGTGGACCCACATGGGGTCATGTGGGGTCAAATGACCCCATAGTTTTTTGGATTTTTTTTTTTAAACTTCATTTTCTGTCTCAAAATGTCCATATCTTAAATCTATATCCATATCACATGATCCATATCCATTATTTAGTATATAGATATATTGTATAATCCATCAATTTCTTCCCAAAGTGCAAACACGGAACATCAACAATAAACAACCGATTTTTCCTTTTTGTTCATGATAAGTTGTTCGAAAAAAAATTTTGACCCCACAATTCGAACTGTCTGGGTCCGTCCCTGTGTATAGAGACTAAAGTAGTTCAATAATTTATGAATTAATTATAGATAACAAATTAATTTATAATGCAAGGTGCATTTGAGAGAAATAGGGAAAGTATCCATATCCATCTCCTTTTTTATTTATTTCTTTAGATGGAAGATTTCCTTTAGTTAAAGGAAATGTCATTATAAAATTTTGTAATAATAAAACTATGAGTATAGTATAATTAATTCTTATATGCATTTTCAAATATGTTAAGAACAATGCAATTAGGTGTACAACATATCCATTTAGAGTATTTAAACTAGAAAGTGCTAACTTCGAAACACGAAAATCCGCATGATTAGCCTCTTTGTCTAATAAAGAATGTATAACTGGATCTTATTAATTCTATAATAGACTTGATAATAGTCCATTCGAGTGTATGAATTGACGGGTTGTCGACGGCAACCACAAAAATGATACAATTTGATTCAATCATTGAAACTTGAAGATGTTAGCTAGCTGCAAATTTAAGGCTCTTCGGACTCACTATGCACTCTTCCAATATAAGGTGCCACAATATGAACAAATATTTAAATTGTCAACATTTAATAAAAATAATATAGAAAATAAAAAAGGCATTAAGTTAGGGAATCAAATTTTAATTTTAAATTGACTCGGTTCATTTGCATAATTTGCTCAAAATATAAAGCAAATTATTTCTCTCATGTTTTGTCCCAACCATTCTTTAGAGTCAAATCCAATTAAATTTTCTTGTTGGAAAACTGCCAGTATCCAACTTCATAACTACCTATATATTTTAGAAAAAATATCAGTGGACGTCATAAAAACTTGACTCGTGTTGTCATTTCATCCCCATTCTTTAAAATGGAGTGTTCAAAACCTCAATCTTTCATTTTACTCGCACTTCGTTTCTTAGTGGGCAATTTTTTATTAGAATTTTATTTTCAAATAAATGCAAAAAAGAAAAAAAAAGAAAAAAGAAAAAAAGAAAATCGTATTCTATGATTATTATTTACATATTCCTCCCTAATTCCATAGGATTTCTTTTTTTTCCCCCTCATTCTTCTTTTTTCTCAAGTTTTAGTGGTTATTGTTTTGTAAGCATTTGAACCAATTATAGTCTCAATAATACTGCCAGTGAACCAGCATTTAATTTTTGTTTATTTAAGGAGAGAAAAGTTTTAGCTTGTTTATTAAAGAAGAGTAAAATCGTCCGTAGGCGCTACATTTTGAAGAGTGAGGACAAAGGTGAAACACCCATCAAAGTTTAGATACCTCCACTACTATTTTCCCTATATTTTCTATAATTCAGGGGGACAAAGAGAGCTCATAATTGGTTGTCATTAATTTGGTAGGGGGGGTCAAGTTCTCAATGTCCTTGTGTTATTGTGGCACTCCACTATCACCACCTCTCCAATTTAATATATATGATTTTATCTTTTATTTTTTATTTTTTCTGGAATCTTAAGGTATAATAAAATTTAAGCCACAATTTTATTCTACTTAGTTTTGAACTTGTCTTGTTGATTTGATGTATTTAAAAAATTGTCATCGAATCAAATAATATTTTCTTTAAATGAAGGAATCTCACTGCGATTTACGTTGCTTAAATATTATTTTCTTATCAATTACACAATGTTTATGTTGACTACATGACGTATATGTATAAAAAAATATTGCAAGAATATAAATTAATGAGAATAATTAAAAATCTTGCTTATATACTTCTTGTAACACATGAAATTTAAGGGTGTGTTTGAGCCCTTTTAATTTTGAAAAATGTATTATGGAATAGTATATTGATAAAGAATGTGTCGATAAAAAAGAAGGAAATTTTTTTAATTTACGTGTAATATTATTTTAATGAGGAATATGTGATTGAAAATAAGTACTGTAAAAAAAATAATATGGTAGAATGTAAAATGATAGGCGACAAACAGGGCTTCAACAACTTTTTCCATTTCATTTTTTCTTTTCCTATACGAAAAGATTATTTGTAAAAAGTGTCAAAGTCCATTACAATTTCTTCAAATTGTGAATTCCCAGCAATTTAATGTTTATTAAAATTCAGGTAGACCAATATATAGAGAAAAAATTGCTGCAGTAGTCCCTCTCCTATGGAGGTTAGTGCAACAGAGTATCCAACCTAAGGCTCTTAGCAAACTTGTCATTAACCCATCAGAATAGGTGCTAGCGTAGCCTTGACAAACGGAAATCGTTAAATTTTCTGTTAAGTAGACAGATGTGCAAGTCACTATTTCAGGGCAAAATGGTTAACCATAATAAGAAAATAGATAAAAAAAAAAGAAATTAAAAGAGAAATTTGAAAAATAAATCATATGAACAGGAAAAGAGGAATTTAAATAAAACAAAAAAAAACAAAATACAAAAACCTTCATCTTCTCCGAACTCCCACCCCCCACTTTGGGATGGCAACAAGAATTGCCTTTCTCGTCATCGACCAATTGGAGATTTTCAAAAAGCATAGAAAGGAAAAGGAATAGGGGAAAGCAATATTTAAAATATTCTTATTTATTGCTCTCATTATCCATATTTTAATATTGTTTCCTTTACTATTTAAAAAAAAAAATTAAACTTAAAAACATAAAATTAAATGAAAACAAGATTTGGGGTGCTACGATATCCCGATGGGATAGGTATTTCATCATCTCTACCCTCATCCAATCGCTGTCCCAATCCACCAAACTTAGGTTCAGGTTTTCATAAAGGTATTTTATATATAAGTGATGCTATACGTATATTAGAATGTCTATGATTGTTTTCATTCCTCTCACATGGAGATGGTCTACTTCGAATAAAATATAATTTATTCGAAGTGAGTCTCTTTTCATGTGATGAGAGTGTACACCATTATGAATATCGTATTATGTACAATTAGTATATTCCTTTATATATTAGGTTATCTAAGTTGGAGATGATGTTGCCATAACCTCCATAAGTGAGGGACGACTTTAGCAATTTCTCCTATACATATGTCAGGTAAAGCATAGGCATGACTGAAAAGGGTAGAAGAGACACCAGAGACATATTACAGGTTAGATTCTTTTTCCTCAGAAAATGGTTATGTAATTATATTGTCCCAAAAACATCCTTTGCTGTCAGTCTGTTTCTATATATATATATATATATTCTTACCTTGAATTTGACTTATTAATTAATTTATATTTGCATTTTTGTATTTTCTATTTGAATTTTTTTTTGGGGGGATAATATTACAAACACCCCTTAAATTTAAGACAAATACATAGACACCAGCTCGCATTTAAAACTTACAACAATATCCCCATGTTAGAAATAATTAATTCGCCGAATACAATAAAAAGTTTCAATGCCCGTTTTACCCCTAACCTCACCTTATGTTAAACTAATATCTCTTTGACGCCTTTTCTTCCCCCAATTTAATTTTTGTAATAGTAAAAACATTAATGGCAAGTAGGAAAAACAACTGACTTACATGACACAAATTTGAAAAATCCACCCATTTACCACTAAAGACCGTGTTTGCCCTGAATATGTCATGAAATTTACTTATTTGCCCTTCAATCTTTCTCCCCAATTTTGATTGGTAACCGAGCACTTATCGAAGGGAAAAATTGAAAAGATACATACCATAAAATTAATAAAAAAAACTCTTTATTGTCGACATGAATACATCTTACTGCAGATGTGGGCCTATTAAACTGTTGTAAAAAATAAATTTGGTAGAATAAAGGGTTTCAAACAAACGTTACTTTTAATACCAAAGGATGTTTTTTGAAAGATACTATGTCCCTTTTTGATAGAGATTAAAATCAAATTTTTAGAAGGTTTTATAAAAATTGAGGAAATATATAGTTGAAAAGTTGAAGATCTTATAAAATGTGCTGTTAAAATTAATCATTGATTTTAACTTAAATTTTAATCAAATTTTTAAGTTATACCAAATAGGGGCTATAAAAGTCTCTTTGGTCAAAGAAAAGTCGTCTTGGGGAATATATTATTGAAAATTTGAAATAAGGGATGTTATGATAATTTTCATACATGAGGGGTGTTCCTACATTTATCATAAACTCGAGGGGGTGTGTGTATGATATTATCTCTGTTCTTTTTGTAAGTATAAATAAGCTACTCTTGTTGTGCAGGTAATATGTCTACTTTTTTTTTTATTCTCGTACATCTCTCTTTTTTTTTTTTTTTAAACAATATTTCTTCGTGGGGTTTGGATTCGTGGGTTTGTGCACCAAAATTTATCTGTAATACTCCATGACCACATCAAATTGAACGTTTGTAAGAAGAATTTAAATCATTTTCTAAGCGATTAATCGAGGTATGCCACTTTCCCTTGTTACTTATTGTGCTTTTTAGTACGCGTTGATTTTCTAAGCGTGTTTCTATTGTTTGTAGAAGTGGGGCAAATCAGTTCCATTTTATGAATATGAAGGATTTTCCATCTTGTTTTGGGGAAAATGGGGTTCTAGTTGCTGATTTTTCTTCTTCAAATGCAAATAGTAACAGAGCTGCCCAGAATGTGGTGACTCGTGTTTATCAATGTAGATTGCTTGGAAAATCTTGCTGGATTACTTTAACTTGGAGTAAAAATTTAATGGGTCAGGGGCTTAGTGTTGGGGTTGATGATAGCACCAATCAGTGCCTCTGTAAGACAGATATTAAACCTTGGTTGTTTTCTAAGAAGAAAGGGTCAAAGAAATTAGAAGCAGACTTATGTAAAATTGATATATATTGGGATCTTTCTTCGGCTAAATTCGGATCCGGTCCGGAGCCATTAAAGGGATTTTATGTGAGGCTTGTATTTGAGAAGCAAATGATCCTGCTCCTTGGAGATATGAGGAAGGAAGCTTTGAAGAAAACAGGTTGCGTCCCTGCCCCATTACCATTTAGTGCTATTCTTATATCGAAGAGAGAACAAATTTTTGGGAAGACGATATTCAGAACTCGGGCTCAATTTTGTGACATTGGCAAAATACATGACCTTGTGATTGAATGTGATACCAGTGGCGTTTGTGATCCGTGCCTTGTTATACGTGTTGATTCAAAGCCGATGATGCAATTGAAGCGCCTCCAGTGGAAGTTTCGAGGAAATGACACCATCTTGGTGGATGGACTTGCTGTACAAGTATTTTGGGATGTGCATGATTGGCTCTTTGCAATGTCTCCTGGAAATGCAGTGTTTATGTTCAACTCCAGCTTTCCATCTGACAAGTTATGGACAAGCCAACCTCTATATGATCCCCACACACTGCACTGGTCGTGGTCTCAAAGATTCCAAGATTACCATTCACAAAATCTTGGTTTCTCATTAATTTTGCATGCTTGGAAGAATGAATGAGGAAGTAGAAATTTAGTGATTAAATGCTAACAGATATTTCTAATGAGATATGATTTTTATTGATTGTGCTATTTGACTTTACTTGAGTATAGATTGTCAATTTGTTTGTTTATTATATTAGAAGTCCAAAATTTTGGAATTCAAACTTTTTTTCTTCTTCTTGTTCGTATATTGTCAGGTCAATGTTCTATTCATTTGGTTATCTGTGGAAGTTTCCTTGTTGAGATTAGTTTTCTTTATGATTATGCTATTTTTCTTTCGGCTTTTTAATTGGGATTTGCAGTGTTTACAAGACGAAGTATCGACAAGTCATTTATCTAGCTTCTTTCAATAAAATCTCTTTCCCATTTTGAATATGACTCTAGGTAAGTTTCTTCTTCAAACTTAAGCTTAATATTATTTTCCCCCTTAATTTTTGTTTTGTATTTGTAAACTAACTACCTACAGGGTTTGGTAACTTCACATTACAGGATATTAACTTACGGTGGAGAAAACAAAATCAGTAGATATACTGTATTATCAAAACTGAGGCTGGTTGGCAGCAAGATTCTTTTCCCCGCTTTGTTGCATGAATATGCGCGATCATCACAGCAATCAGTTTGACGATGGATGAACCCGTGGATTTCAGTATGAATTCGAGTGTCTTTTTAACTCTCAAAATTGTAAATGATTCAGAACGGTACTCCCCCTGTTGCCAGTCTTTAGGTTTTATTTTATGGATGTTTTGAGCTATATTGTCATTTGTGTAGATTTATGAATGAGACTAGTGTTCAGAAAAACAATAAAATAGGCAGATTAGAGGAATAGATCTTATGAATGAAGGTTTGAAAGCGAAATATTCCAGTTATTCATCGATGATTATCTCAGACGAAATTATTCTAGACGTAAAATCCTGAAGTTTTATCTCAAAAATGTTGGGTCTCTTGCTACTTTTTTCCAGAGCCACTAGCAAGAGGACATAGCTGTAGGTATATGAACATTCTTTCCTCTGCCCATCTTGAAGCAGTGAATCGGTAGTTACACCCCATGTGTGATATCCATGCCATCTCTTCTTTGTATTACCTGAAGGCTATTGCCATACATTTTAGCTTCTGGATTTGTCTCTTGCCTGAATAGACTTTTTCTCTCAGGTCTTTACGAAGCCTTGGATACCTCATAACTAGTTTAGATCACATTCAATTAGGAACCCATGACACTACATAATCTAATGAGATTAAGAAATCACTTTAAGGTTTGTCAGGATGAGTTTTTTGTAAGTGCTTTGTTTGGTTTAAAAGCTTTTAGAGGAAATTGGCTCGATGTGACTTTCTCATAAATCTCTTGCTGGTTGATTTTATCTGGCAAGAGGATGACCGAAGTCCTTATAATTCGGCCCTTATCTCAGCTGAAACACAAATTATAGAGCTCTGTTTTCGACTGAAATCAAAAATGCTAAATCAAAAAATCTAAAATATCACAAATCATCCGAAAGATCAATCACTCACCTTCAACCCTCATACCGCGAAATACAGGGTATCTTCTCCAAGAAATGATCGTTTACCATTCTATGTTGTTGGTAATGGTGTACATTGTCTCACACATTTCCACATTTCTTCTTGTAGGGACAATTGTGGACTATATGTCATAAAGTTTACGGAATTCATTATGCATCAAGAGATAAGTATGATGTCGAAGAATGTTGATCCTAGAAGTTTGCAGTCGCAATTGGCAGTGCAACTTTATAAGCATGCGTGTGAGAAGATAAAATGAGGCTACGAAACAGATTTTGATCTCGTCGTGTCCCGTGTAGTGTGAGGAGGAAGAGAAAGACGAGGGCTTTGAAGAATGTCTGGCGTAGTACTATTCGTATATGTTTAGTGATCCCAACATTGCCTAGTTGGTTGTTATGTAGAAATCTTTCAGAGGGATTTTATATTGGCTAGATTTGGTTGGTACCTTATGCGAAATCTATCCTTGGGAGTTTTTGAATGCAGTAATGAAACAAACTGATATTGGCGATGTATTTTTCGCTGTGGAACTGTTATGCTGCTTTTAAATTTATGTGAATTCTAGTAATATTCGTATATAATCTTCAGAAATATGTTCATCTAATTAGTTACAACGCATGTTTCGTATTTCTATTTTTATAAAATCCTGTTTGATTATTTGAGTTTCACTCTTTAATTTTGTGCCGGTAGATTCTGTCTACCACCTTCTCCAAATGTTACCAACAATTGCAGATGGTGAAAGTTAGAAACTCATGTCAAACATCCAACATCTATTTCTTAGCGCTTCTTGTAGTAGTGATTGTAGGGTCTATATATCGAATACAACTTCTCGTCACATTTTGTACAAGCTTCCAGGACATAGTGGATCGGTTAATGAGAGTGTGTTCCATCCCAGTGAGCTATCATTGGCTCCTGCAATAGTGATAAGTAGATATTTCTTGGTGAAATCTAAATGAATTTCTGTAATTTTTCCTCTTCTTTTCGTATGGTTGTCAGATGAAAGTAGGAGTTGGCTGGGAAATAAGGAAGGTATTGTGAAAATTGTTTAGTTTTGATTTATTTGATCTTTGGCATCTATGGATGTTCTATTTTGCAGTTGTGGCAAGAAGAATTTGTTGTAACATGTATTGTTTGCTTGAAACCGAATTTAGCTATCTTTTCACCATCATAATAAGTTTTATCAATTTAGACTACGGTTTATTTGACATGATTTTTGCTTTTATTTCTACTTCAGGTAAAAAAATTTCTCAAGAAGTTACCTTAATGTATGTTTGAAAATTAATTTCTAAAAGTACTTATTCTTTAAGAGGCTTTGATTTCTTAAAACTCGTGTCAAACATCCTACATCTATTTTACTATACAGGTGGCAGTGACATTGTCCCTGTTTGGTGTTTATACCTAACAAATACGAGATTAGTTAAACATTGTAAATGGTAGAGGTCAGTTTTAATTCAAAAGTTTAGTTTCATCTATAGTCATCAGTTATAATATCGAAAGGTTGGAACCTATGTGCGTAAACTTACTCGACTATGCATCTCACAAAGAGAGGCATTTCAATATACTTAAAAGGGTTAAAGAAAGAAAACACCACTCAACGGGTAACGTAAATCCGAAGAAGCAAATGCCTAAAAAATACCAGGTGGCTGAAAATGTAATGTGGCACAAACATTTCATTCTGGAACTTTAATTTTGAAAATTTGAATAACAATGATATATGACAAATATATGTACATCTTACATAAATAATCAAAAGGAATATATTGCAGTTGGAACAAATCACGTATTAACCAAATTTGATTATGCGAGAACACTACAGTAAAAAACTCATTAACAATTTTATTACAGCATGAAAAATCAGGTGATTTTCAAGCACAATGTCTCATTCCTTGATATCTAAATCAAATCGTCAAACCTCGTTTACGCTTGCTTAAATGACAAAGTGGGAGTGATTGCTTACAAGTTCTCCTGTTGTGTCCCCTACCACCACACCTTCCACACATTATTGCTTTTAAGCACTAATCCTAGTCCATCTCCTCCTCTTCTTAGGCCTGATTGGTGGCTTCTTGATATAGGTGGAAATATATCATCAGGTGTTTGGCATTTGTTGACCTTCCATTTCGCACGATCACAAAGTGGAACAACACATCCAACATACGATGCCAAATAAAAAATCCTTTGTATGATATTGCGAGCAGTAATTATATGGTAGCTCAACCATATCCCTAGTAAGCGATTTCAACATTATGAATCAACAAATTTCAACATTGGATTGTTTTCAATTTATTTAGAAAATAGGATGAAATTAGGAGCAGAAAATAGATTGAAATGCTATCGTTTGAGAAAGTAAAATTTGAAACATATAATCATGAAATTGAATCTAAAATACTAGAGATGTTAGTTCAAGTAAAATTTACCGTTTTGTTGTGAAAAATCCCTATTTGTATGCTGACGTAACACAACCAGAATCAACTATAAGGAAAGTCTACTATGAAAAACGATGTGTATTGAATTGGAGATGAAGAGTGATGAGATAATCAAATATTTTGAGTGTTTTGAGGTAGAAAGAAGAGTTCATATTTTTTGAATTATCGAAACAGTAGCATAGGAGTTAATTGATTTCCTTGTTTACATCCGTTTAATGAATTTCAGTTACATTGGTTAAATGGGGAAAGTTGTACTGGCAGTAATTTTGATTATATTTCATACATTATGCAGAATATTTAATAAACTAAAAAATATGTGGTATTACATGAATTATTTATTATTTCATACGCAAATACGATTTTTTTCCCAAAATTCAAAACTAAAGATTAAGTATCACCCATTTCAAAATTAAGAACAAAAAGTTTCAAATTTCAAAAATAAGATATTTATTAAAATTTATTTTTGATTTAATTAATTAATTGTATATTCCATTTATTAAATAGATAAAGGTCACATATCGATACAATTTGGTCACAAATTAACGATTTAGTTAGTTACATATTATTTTTCGATCACAAATCAGAATTTTTATATTTCAAAAATTATTTTATGGTCACAATTTAAAAATTTTATGGATCAAATTTATTCATCGGTCAAAATAAAAAAAATTATAAGTTACAATATTTATCGGTGACAAATCACAAATATTATAAGTCACAACTTATTATACAGTGACAAATTATTAAATTATCGATCACAAATTAAATTTTTTTAAGTCACATATTATTTTTTTGTCACAATTTATATTTCTTATTGGCCACATACTATTATCGGTTACAAATTAATCAATTTAATGGTCACAAACCAAATAGTTTGTGACCACCGCCAACACTGCAATCACCACCTCACCACTGTTTCCAGTAGCAGCAGCACTACTACCATTGTTGCTGCCAAAACCACCATCACCTCAAACAAGTCAACACATCGCATAAAAACACCACCACATCATCGTGCTAGACCCATCGCCACCAACATCTCACCATCATCAACATGACCACCACCACCACTTCCACAAAAAACCTATCGTCGGGCATCATCACCACCATTGCCTATATCAACAAAAACCACCACCACTGTCTCCGCCATCACCACCACCACTGTCCGTATCAACATAATCATCAACATCACAACATCCAGATCCAACAACGCCATCGTCCACCTTCGGTCCAACAAAACTCAACTCAACTCCACCGCCAGATCCACCATCACCATTAGATCAACCACTATCGCCAACAACCGCTATCCCCCATTCAAGCCACGCACTGCGACAGTCATAAGCTGCTCCGCACGTTTGGTGGGGGAGGGAGAGCAGCGATCGGGTGATAGATGAAAGAGAGCAAAGGCAGGTACAGGCCGCATCTCGCGGCAGTGGTCTGAGGCTATGCCACCGACATAAAGAAAGGAAAGGACCTGTTGCTACAACTTTAAGGTTGCAAACCCAAGTGCAGGTTGTCGCAAGTAGTAAATCTCGGAAGTCCGAGGTCGAACCACAGGGAATTGGAAGGAAATAAACTATTCTATGAGTAATGAACGGTTGGTGGAAATACGATTGAGACGAACACTAGAGCATCGGGGATTCACTTTGGATAAATGAGTAGAAATTGCACTTGATCTTTAACTTAACTCATATGAAAATCAAATAAGGATTGATCTCATATGGAAGATTAAACATTAACCACAAATATACTAAAAGATAGATCTTGATAATTGTTTGAGAGAATATGTCAAAATAAGTTGTTGGTATGTAGAGATTATCTAAGCATTTATTGTGCCAAAATTGTCAACAATAAATCAAAGTCTTTAACAAACCAAAACCATTTGTAGAAAACAAACTTCAACCAAGTAAGAAGATGAACATTGAAGAACAAAATGAAAGATCA